TTCCGGCTTGGTCAGGATGGGCAATACATTCCCGAAATCGCTTATCTAGGTACAATGATATATAGAACTGTAGTAATTTATATTATCTGATGTTGGCCTCTCATTTAGACTATAGTACAATACCAGGTCTCACTTTAAGCCGTGTATATCACCATGGATATTTTCTCACTACGAGTTATATCACTAATTTTGACGCATCTGATCGTATTTATTTATTACCAAGCCACATTTCATAATCTAACAATATAGTTAGTCTAGGCTGGTCATGAATGATTTCATATCCTAATTAGCTGTAACTAAGCTGCTCCAGCTACATTTCGCTTTTTTATTTCTTTGGAATTTTGAACTGTCATTTAGACAAATAATTTGTAGCCATGTACTCGAGGTACATTATCAATCTTTATTCGAATTAAGATAATTCAAGCCTCTATTTGTGATCCTTTTATTTTAATTTTGACCAATCATCAGTTTGATAATCGTTTCTTGCCTAGGTGACACAGAGTTCTCAGTTTTTACTCCTCCTGCGCATCCCCAACTGCTCTCTGTTCGACTCCTAATTACCGAAGCGACCTTTCTAGACAATCCTAAGCATCTTTTGAAAAATGCCGCTAAGCATCGGCATACGCATATTGAAGAAATTAGAAAATCAGCGCATTTATTTAAAGTGAGTTTTTTATCGTTTTATTTCGAAATTTGCTCTTTGTACATCGTCTTATTTATCTTCGAACTCTTTATTTCTTTTGCGAATGTAAGTGAAAGATATTCATTTTGAAGGATCATGATTTCACATCAGGAGTTCGTTGACTTGATCGTTGCGCCTTAATGGGATGTCGATGCATTTGTTCCGATGATTCATACATCTAGCTGCATGCCTAATGGAATAATACATTATATTCGAAAGATATATTGTTTTTTAAGCCATCTGAAGATCTCACTTATTTCAAAAATTTTGATTTAGGAGATATGAGACACTTGAGATTGAAGTTCATGCGCAACCCACGAATATTGGACAAGTTCCAAAGACTATGTTTTCCATCTTCTAAAAAAGCTTGAGACTTTATACATTTTATATTTAAATATAAGTGACATTTTCATAAAAATCTAGGGTGAAAATCCTGTTATAAATCAGGCTTAAATAGTAAGTAGTGGGTCGACCTCGTGGCAACTTGGTCTTGTTGTCAGGGTGACAATGTAGAACGCACCTAGTCCGAAGTCGTCTGCCATAATAGTTGTCATGATTCCCACAGTGGACTTGATACATTCTCAAACGTTTCGATGGCATCATAGTCTGCATCATCAGTGAGCTTTGGCATTCTCCGCACCAAGATACCAACTCGTCAAAGAGACAAGAGAATGGCAAAGCTCACTGATGATGCCGGCAAAACGCTTGAGAATGTATCAAATCCACTGTCAGATGCTGGGAATCATGACAACTACTATGGCAGACGGCTTCCGACTAGGTGCGTTCTACATATTTACCCTGACAACAAGACCAAGTTGCGACAACGAGGTCGACCCACTACTATAAATCGAAAGGAGACTGAGACCATAACAGAGGCCCCAACATCTTGGTCTTCATATATTCAATTAAATAGTAAGACTAAATATTAATGACCTATTTGGTTGTTTGGCCAATACAAATTTGCCTCATCGGCAATCCCATTATAAAATTTGATTTCAGATATCTGCCTTAGCTTGAATGTCATTTTGTCTGTTTCCCGCTGGCATACGTTGCGATGCGCCGTAGTATAAACGCATTATCACTTTAGACCCCCGATATGTGTTCGTTTACTTTTTGGGCTGATAATGGGACCCGAGCGGAGTCAAAAATTAAGTCAGCCTCAAGCGAAACCCTTATATATATACTTTGACTGAATACCTAAAGGATTTTAACATCAATTGTTGGCGGAAAGAAAACAATTAAAGTACTGAAAATAACTATCGTATTCTATTATCATCTAGAATCTTTGGAAGGAAAGATAATTAGATAATTATGGATTCCACAACATTGATATTGTCAAGTATTTACGTAATTCTCTGTTTGGCACCTTGAATCAATTATAATTCTCCTTAGGTTTCATTTTATATTTTGTCCCATATAGTCTGAATCGAGTCTTGACTTCATCCATTTTTCCTCAGCCACCTCGTCTTACTTTGAATTATACTTGCAACCAATAGCGATTGAAGTTGAAATTGAGTATACTTGGTATAAAATATAGTCTTCTTAATAAATTGTGTGTGCTAAGACTTAGACCGATGGCACATTTTTTCCTGTCGAGCTTACTAAAATAATTTTTACTTACGGAGATTTCAAGTTTTTAACATGTTGAAAACAAATAGCCTAACTCAGCTGTCATTATTACCCGGAGGCATGCCCATTGATTTCAAACTAATCTTCATTGGATAATTTAAATTTTCAGTTAGCTGCATTATATGCTGATTTGTTCCAACTATCTTTTTATTTTTATAATACTTAATCACGTTAGGACAAATCATATTTATCCATAGAAAGGAAGCCTTATAAAACTGGCATTTTAAAATTTGACGGACCTAAAATTTTCACTACACATCGATTAATCTACCCTATCACTTGTTTACTTCATTAAAAACCAAATTACTTTGTTGTATTTACCGTAAATTAATAAGATGACATCGTTATACCATTGTTATAACAGCATTAATGCTTGTATCCAAATATACTTGATTAATATTGTACTTTTTTAATTTTTTTTATTTTAGGATATCGGAAACATCTTGCTAATTCATCCATCGGATCGTTACAGCCCTAGCGATATCTTTTGTCTTCCACGCTCACATATGCCACAATGGCTTTCTCAGAAGATAATTACCTCTTCCTGGGCTAAAATCTGTCAGAATCTCTAAGACCCCTCTTCTGAAATCTTTTTTGACTTTATTTTCTTATTTTTTAAAACCACAACTTAACTGCCTCACGGTCACTGAATTGATTTGAAAAATAAAGAGATATGACAACAAGATGTGATTAAAATCTACCATATTCTATCCATTAGGCTGGAGAAATTGGACAAGACTCAAATAATAGAGGATTTATTTTGGTGAATATAAATAAAGCAATAATAAAAATGGAGGGGAAAAGCAATCTCATATGACAAACTTTTACTGCGGATTATGCTTCATGTTTGTGGCTATGAATTTGCCAGTAAAAAATTCTCCCGATAGGCCCAGTTCCTAATTCTGCTTGCGTTCGGTATCTGTTGGCTTTAATTGAAATCGCCAACCTAATCGTCGCAGACGCTGTCCTTTTGTCTCACTGAAGTTATCCGAGTTGCTCTTGTGGCCTCACTGGAGTTGGGTTGCAGTCGAGAACTACTTTCCGCATGACGAAGTCCTTCAGCATACTGGGACATAAGGGAATGCATGAACTAGTAAATTGTTCGGCGTTTAACTGTTAAGCAGTATCACTTAGCAGAGGTTTCGCTAATATTTTAATGGGCCTGGATTTTTGAAGGAGTGATGCGTATTATTGAAAATTTATTCTAGATTCTCATTCATCGCAATCGAGTTTGCGACATGTCTATTTATTTTAATTGAAAAATCTGAGCTAATTTTGTCTGCAACCATATAGATTCCATGATAACAAGATGAATATAGTCTTTTTTTCCCTAACCATTATGTCACGGCTTCTGGAATAGTCGCCTTCACGCAAATCTAATGTCCATGAATGATTTCTAATGGGCGGCTTAAACCTGGAAGACTATGATGCAACGGAAACGTCTTCCGGCTCACATTGGTTACCTGTAGCTCATTTCGGGCGACTATTATATTCGTTGAGCTTACTTCCGCTTCGATTGAAAGAGATTCGAAGGTGATTTCACCAGAAGACGACATCGGATTCCCTTTTACCAGCTGTCGATTGGCTCTACTGAAACATTGATGTTGACGCCATTTCCGAGGTAATCTCCATCAATTCTGATGAAAATGTGCTAAGCCAAGTATCTTGACAGAATGATTTTGTTCATTTGGAAAGGTAGAGTTCAGACCCTTTTCCAAGAGGAGCATAAGGTTAGCATCCATAGGTATACTGGATAGATTGATCACTTTATTCTTGCTAGAACAATTGTCACATTTTAACTACCTTATTGTTTTGAAAATTGCTTAAGTTGATTTTAATGCCTAGGCTCCTCACTTTCTTATCATGTTGGGATATATGGATCTTATCCATCCTGTCTGCTGTATTCTGCAATTTTATAATTGCAATTTACAAATATCATGCCTCATATTTTAGCTAATAATTACACGTCACGAATGGAGGAACACTTCATTGTAGAGCTAAGATTGACATCCAAACTGTAAGTTAGATACATGGTTGACTATTATGTCATATGGCAGCGTAGTAAGGATAGTTTAGATCATTTCTTGTTAGTAATTAACCAGATTAACTGCAATGTTAAGTCGAAATAGAGGGCAATAATTTACCTTTTCTAGATTATTTACTGAACAGAACAGGTGAGACGTTAAGCAGGGATGTATAGAGAATGGCCTTATCCTTAATTTTTTCTCCATCATAATTACAAAACAAGGGTTGGATATCTAAAATCTATGACTATTCGGAGCATGAGACAAACCGATAGAGACCATTGTGATAATGAACTGGATTGGTTTAAAATAATATTTCTTGAGAATAATTATCCCCTTATTTTTATTGAAAATAGCATTAGATTAATAAAGAGTATCTTTTTGAATGGTGAATACGTAAGGAGTGATAAGGAAACCTTTTATCATGTTTTGCGTTGCCTTTGAGCATTCTTTCTAAAAGAATAGGTGAACAAGCAGTGAAGTGGGGAATAAAAACCGTTTTCAGGAAAAACTACGGCACTTTATTCAGTAATGTCCACTTAGAGAGAAAGTTGACCCATTATCTAAATCGGGTTGCTAAAACATGTGTTCATGTGGTCGCTTTTATTTAGAAGAGACTCGTCGTTCCATTCGGCAAAGAGTAGGTGGGCAGAAAAGCGCTTGCAGACGCTGCTGGGTTCAAAAATCGGAGTTGGCTGAGCACAAGGCAAAAACTGAATACGAAATAGAATGATCTCAAACTTCTCCTTTTGCTGATTATAGCTAAACGAAAAATCTGAGAAGCCGTCGAAATAAATCAGAGATAATAGCGGTTGTTTGACCTTGGTCATATTGGTAGGAAGACTTAGAGGAACACACCTTGTCCGGTGTCCATCGTATTCATGTTCATTTCCAAAGTCGGACCGTGGATACTGTACATGCCCAGACGTTTCGCCGGCAACATAAGCGAGTCTCGCCATTCTTAGACACCACAAAACACTTCGTCAAAGAGACAAGTGAAGCCTTTGATCAAACGTGTGCTAAACAGTTGTGGTATCTCCCCTTCTGCTCTGGGCTATTCACATTTCCTATATCCTCCTATCACGCCTTCACTCTTACAATTTTTAACGTGCTTATTTAGGTGTAGTGTGATGTGTTCCTTTGAGAGGCATTCATAAAAACCCTTCACACTCCACGCTGTAGTTCTCACGCCTTCACCCTTCTGCTGGGAATGTTGATCAGAGTCTGCCATATTGTTATGCAGTCCTCCTTCCCTAGGTCTTATCACAGTCTCTCTCTTGCCCCGTAAGATCCGTCTGTTCTTTCTCTGGTTCACGTATTTCACTCGATCCCTGCCACCCCATCTGTGCTACCCTAGGCGTTATTAGCCCTCCCCTGCGTCTGGGTGACTAATTTGACCAAACAAGTCTATTGTTAGCCAAATAGCTCTAGTCTCCGCCGCGTCTATCCTGTCTCTATCCCTAATATCAACTCTATGATGTGTTATACCTTAGTCTCTTGTGAGCTAATCCACAATTGTCGTGGTTCTACTTGAAGACGTCTCCTCATGCTTCTGATTGTTCCTTTCTTGTCCCCCTGAGATCTCTTTTCCTGAAATTAAGGATGTGACCTTCATCCAGTTGTCTTCTTTTTGCTGATCTTCTCCGAGTTTGTTTAGCTAATATGCAAAGTTTTCGCTGATCCTGCCTTCTTCAAGTCTCCTGTTCATTAGATTTCTCTCGGTCAGTATTTGATGGTCTCTCTGATCTTACGTTTTCTTGTATTTTCACCACGTAGCCAACCATTCGATCGATTTTCAGTCTATTTCGTGCCCCGTTCGTGCAATGTGTTCCACTATCTGGGATCTTTTCGTATCCATGTTCCTGCAGAGTCTTTGATGTTCCTTGATTCGTAGGCCGATTTTTCTCAATGTCTCACCAATATACATCTGCTCACAGTTGCCGTATTTGATGCGATAAACTCCCAAACAATCAAGTTTGTCCGTCTTCTCGTGTTGCGTCGGCGGACTGGTGAAAAGTGTTTTCTCCTTTGTTATCACCTTGATATTCCATTTCCTTAGTAATGGTCGAAATTGTTGGCTCAGTTCTGATGAGGGCAGGCAAATCAACTTTCGCTTGTCATCATGATTCCTGATCTAATTTTCATCAAATCCGAGATGAAATCTGCTATTTATAACCTCTACTTTTTCTCTACAAATTAACTGGGGTATCCGTTACTAAGGCAAACTCGTGTCAGTCTGTCCAATCCCTCGTCCCAGAACTCTGTCCGTTAGTCGTAAGCTTTAATGATCAAACTCCTCAGTATTCCGATCTTCAGTATGCAGTTTTGGCGAGACTGAAAATAAAGGATTATTCCCGCATATGACTCCTTTCTGTATAGTCTCCTCATGAGTGTCCCTTTGGGGCGCATGACTTTAATATCCAGAAAGGGTAATCGTTCATTCTTCTCCACTTTCATTATGAATTTAATTTTTTCATTTAGTTCGTTGATGAAATTGAGGAATTCATTTAGATCTTCCTTCCTATGTGACCAAAGTGCAAAGTAGTCATCCAAGTATCGCATGAGCACTCTTGGTTGCAGTAGTGACTTCTCGAATTCCCTTTTCAACTTGTCGATGCATACATTTGCCAAAAGGGGTGAGAATGGAGATCCTTTCGGTAGCCCAAATATTTGCTCGTATATACCGCCGTTAAATGTAAAATATGTGGTGCTTACCGTCAGGTTGATCAGTCGTGTTAACGATTCTTTCCGTATCCGTTTTGCTTCCAGCATATCCTCTTCTCACTCCAATATCTCCAGCAATGCGCTTACCACCTTCTCGCCTGAGATGTTTGTGTACATGGATTGCACATCGAAACTCATCGACAGTTCCGACCCCACCAACCCAATATTGTGGATTCTTTGAGAAAATTTATATGAATTAATAACGGTATTCGAGAGTCTGTCATTTACTTTGTTGAGCTTCAAGCAGATGAATTTCGCTAGTTTGTGTATTGCTCCATGCTTGTTGTTGACTATTAGTCTTAGCGGATTTCCTTCATTATGTATCTTCGGTAGTCCGTAGGCTGTCGGTGGTATTGCGTCATTTTTAATTAAAGATTTCATCATCCATCTGTCGATTTTCCCATTATTATGCATTTCCTCTAGCATATTCTTCAATGTCCTGTTGATTTTCATGGGTGGATCCTTGCTTAGTATTTGATAAGTGTTCCGGTCGCCAAGAATACTTTCTATTTTCTCCGTGTATTGTTTCCTGTCAATTACAACCATCGCTCCTTCCTTATCCACCCGGAGAACTATTTAATCATTCTTTTGTAATGTTTGTTTTCCCCAATACCAGCTAATCTGCTCCTGTGTATCGGTTCTTGATGTGTCAGGATCCGTGGGAATATTGTCAGTTCCATCTCCCGCCTTGTATCTTCTGGATATTTATCCGTTAT